GTATGCGGGGCACGTCAGTTATCGTCCGATTACGGGGGCAGATGCCCCTCCTAGTGATACTAGTGTGCCCCTCCAGATGGGTGTGCGAAATTTATTTTTTGACCCCTCCATGATGATGCGATAATAGAACCGTTAGCTACGGTCGGTTTTTGAAAGCTTATTTACTTCCGTTTTCCATCGCAGAAACGGGAAATCTGCTTTTCAATATCCTCCGTATTAGAGGCTCCCCAATTGCTTTCGGCCACTTTGCCAGGAAGTGCTTCGCCATGGCTGCCCACCAGAGAATTGCGATCGTGTCTGTCTACGACAAAACAGGGCTTTTGGACCTTGCCAAGGGCCTCGTTCAGAACAATGTTCGAATTCTGGCCTCGGGCGGCACTTCCCGGATGATTAGGGAGTCCGGGTTCCCTGTTGAGTATGTGAACAATTGGAAGAAATGAAAGCGAGCAAGGGGGAAGTAAACTAACATGTGCGCTGACCTACAGGGACATCTCGGCCATCACCAAGGCACCCGAAATGCTTGCGGGCCGTGTCAAGACGCTGCACCCGGCCGTGCACGCCGGCATACTAGCACGAAACCTTGCTTCGGACGAGAAGGACCTGGCCGAGCAGAACATTGACAAGGTCGACTATGTGATCTGCAACCTGTACCCCTTCAAGGACACCGTCGCCAAGATCAACGTCACCGTCCCCGAGGCCGTCGAGGAGATTGACATTGGTGGTGTTACCCTCATCCGCGCCGCTGCCAAGAACCACTCCCGCGTGACCATCCTCAGCGACCCCAACGACTATGCCGAGTTCCTCAAGGAGATCGAGTCTGGCGAGGTCAAGGAATCCAGCCGCAAGCTGTACGCCCTCAAGGCATTCGAGCACACAGCCGACTACGACGCCGCCATTGCCGACTTCTTCCGCAAGCAGTACGCCTCCGAGGGCGAGAGCGTGCAGTACCTGCCCCTCCGCTACGGCGCCAACCCCCACCAGAAGCCCGCTGCCGCCTACGTGAAGGAGGGCAAGCTCCCCTTCGAGGTCCTCTGCGGTGCCCCCGGATACATCAACCTGCTTGATGCGCTCAACAGCTGGCCCCTGGTCAAGGAGCTCAAGGCAGCCCTCGGCAAGCCGGCCGCCGCCAGCTTCAAGCACGTCTCCCCCGCCGGTGCCGCCATCGGCGAGCCCCTGACCGCCGAGGAGCGCAAGGTGTACATGGTCGACGACATCCCGGGTATCGAGTCTTCGCCCCTGGCCGCCGCCTACGCCCGTGCCCGCGGAGCCGACCGCATGAGCAGCTTCGGCGACATGATTGCGCTCAGCGACATTGTCGATGTCCCCACAGCCAGCATCATCTCCAAGGAGGTGTCTGACGGTGTGGTTGCCCCTGGATACGAGGACGCAGCCCTCGAGATCCTGCGGAAGAAGAAGGGCGGCAAGTACCTCATCCTCCAGATGGACGAGGCCTACGAGCCCGCCAGGAGCGAGACCCGGACCGTGTACGGCGTCACCCTCGCGCAGGGCCGCAACGACGTCGAGATCTCCCCCAAGTCGTTCACCACCATCATCACCCCCAAGGGGGCCGGTCCCCTGCCCGAAAACGCACAGCGCGACCTCACCATCGCCACCATCGCGATCAAGTACACCCAGTCCAACTCTGTCTGCTACGCCGCCAGGGGACAGGTCGTCGGTCTCGGTGCGGGCCAGCAGTCGAGAATCCACTGCACCCGGTTGGCCGGCGACAAGGCCGACAACTGGTGGCTGCGCTTCCACCCGCGCGTGCTGGGCATCAAGTGGAAGAAGGGCACCAAGCGGCCCGACAAGTCCAACGCCATCGACCTCCTCGTTAGCGGCCAGCTTCCCAAGTCGGGCACCGAGCGTGAGCAGTTTGAGAACTTCTTCGACGAGGTCCCTGCTGCCTTCACCGAGGAGGAGAAGACGGAGTGGATGTCCAAGTTGAGCGACGTCTGCGTGTCGAGTGATGCTTTCGTAAGACCCCCCCTCCTTCTCACTGACCCCTTTGACCATACGGTGTAAGTTGTACTAATGGGTTTTTAGTTCCCCTTCACCGACAACGTCTACCGCGCCGCGCGGTCAGGAGTCAAGTACATTGCCGCTCCCGGAGGCAGCCAGAACGACGTCCCTGTGTTCGAGACGGCCGAGAAGTTGGGCATCACGTTTGTTGAGCAAAACACTCGCTTGTTCCACCACTAAAGTTCACCGATTGGACGTTAGATAAAAAAATGAAAGAAAAGATACCCCCCCTAACTACCTACCTACCTACCTACCCCTTCCTCTTTTCTTTTACATCTGATCCATTATCATCTTGATATTGATATATCAGTCAGATGTTGCAACGGTTCGGATGTAATGTATGATTATGACCTGGCAGGCAAAATTTTTTTTTTTAAAAAAAAAGAATAGCAGCCATATGTAGGCAGGGCTTGGGTTTGTTAGTCGGCCATTTGTTGGGCCAGCAAAGAAGTTTCAACAAAACACACGCGTTCCGGGCTGGGCTGGGCTGGGCTGGATTACAGGGCAGAAATGAAATAAAATGATTAAAAAAAATAAAAATAAAAAAGATTTCAACAAAGCAATATGACGCTATGCCGCTCACTGTGCTCCTATTCTAGACAGCATGTACATACTTACTAGAACTTTGAGGTTATCCAGTGGGCCCGTCTCAGCCGACAGAGGGAGGGAGAGAATACGAATGGGAGAAACGAGACAAAAATGGAAGGCTTCAACAACTGCTAGACTACGGCTTTTCACAGAAGCCAGACAGCCTCCGAAGAATATAAGTCATCTAGAAAAAAAAAAAAAAAAAAAAAAAAAAAAAAAAAAGGGCACAACATTAATGGTATCGGTCGGAGACTGACTACCTAGAAAATCTAAAACTAATGTACATTACATTAAGCATACACACCAACCACACGGCTGTTGCAGTAAGGTAGGTAGGGAGAGAGAAAGAAAGAGACCAATTAATCACTGTCATCAGCTTTGTCCTCGCTACCGTCCTTGTTCTTGGACTTTTTGAACTTCTCACGGCCCGTAGCGAAAAAGGCCTCGACGATGCGACCGTCAAACGCGCGGCCGTGCATCAACTTGACGCAGGCCTCTGCCGCCTCGGCCGTCTGGAACTTGACGCTGACGATGCCGTCCTCCTCCTCGTCAAAGAGCACCACGTTGGTGACCGGTCCAAGCTTGGCGCACTCCTCCCGGATGTCCTCCTTGATGTCCAGGATGGCCGTCGGGTCCTCCTCCAGCTCTTCTAGCGTGAACATGTGACTGAGAATGACTACCTTGTCCCACTTGTTGGCGCCGTTCTTACCGGCTTTACCCTTTTCAGGACCATACGGTTGGAGGGCGGCCGGATCGTCATCGTCCCAGTCTGCCAGTTTGGCGGCTAACTTCTGTGTCTTCTTGATGATCTTTTGCTTGTCTTGCTCTGCAGCTCGTCTGTCTTGCTTCGACTTCTTGTCGCCCTCGCTGGGTGCATTGTATTTATCAATGTTGGGGGTGTCGCTGGCTTCAGCAGCAGCAGCAGCAGCAGCCCTGCCATTATTGCTGCCCTCGGCGTCTTTGTTGTTGTTCTCGTCGTACTTGGTCTTCTTGTAGCTCGAGTCGGCCGCCTGAACGCGCATCTTGCCCGTCGTCAGACCGGAGGGAGTGATGCGGAAGTCTGTGTCGTCTAGCAGCATGATGGCCATGTCGACCGACTGCGGCTTGAAGAAGACGATGAGCGCATCGCCCTTGCAGTTGCCGTCGGCGTCGGTGTACAGCTTGACGCGCGGTCGCCCGCTGTCGATCTCCTCGGCGATGACGCCGCACTTGCGCGAGAACAGCTCGGCGACCTCGTCGACCGTCGCGTCTGGAGGCAGGCCGGTGACATACACGGCTGTGTTCTGCTTGGGTTGAGGCGGTCCTCTGTTGTTTGCGCGCTTTCTGCTGGTGCTATTGCTGTTGCTGTCCTGCTGACGATCCAAAGAAGACAAAGCGTCTGGTCAGTCTCTGCCCCGGAGGAGTATCTCTCCCAAGCTGTGTTCTTTGTTCCTCTAAAGATTTTCATGGAGAGGAGGAGGAGGGGTGTAGCATGGTAGTCATTGCGGGATTGCGATTGCGAAAGCCGCAGCAGGTGTGCATGCGAGTGCAGCTTACCTCGCCGTCGTTCGAGTGGTTCGTCTTCCTCTTCTTGCCTCGCGCCGGTCCCGACTGACTGCTGTCGTCGTCGGCGTCGCCGTCGGTAGCTGCGAGGTGCATCATGTAGCCCCTTTGCTGCTCCGCTATGAGAGCTTCGTCAATGATGGGTATCCATCGCTTCAGGTCCTCGTCAAATTCGTATTCCGTGCCGTCGTCCTGGACGGCGATGTACTTATTGTCGAGCTTTGAGAACGAGATGCGCTCATCTTGGTCAAACTCCTCGGGGTTGGTTGGAAAAGTCCAATACTCGGCTTCTCCCGACATGGCGACTGAGATTGACCGTGGCGTATGGTGGAAGTTTTGTCTTCAATGTCAGCGGGGGAGATGCATCGCAAGAAAATGACGTTGCAAGGAGCAGGTGATGAAGCCATGAAAGCAGGCGATTTCACGCGGGTAGGCACCAGCAGCTCTTGAGGGGCACGGTCCCTAGGTATTCACTATCGATAAGGGAAGTAGGGGCTTGAGGTGCTAGGTAGGTAGGTATCTTGAAAAACAGCCCACTAACAACCAACTATGGTAAAAAGGAAAGCAAGTCTACAGGAAAGGAAATCAAAGCGTAGAGTAGGCCATGTATTACAGGTTCTTCAGACTATATACTTATAGCGACTTACTACTGCATGACCGAGAAATTTCTCAAGCCCAACTATTTGTGTCACTGTGCAATAGCAAAGGTGGGACGAAATGGTCGAAGGCTCAGGAAATTGGTTCCAGCGGTAGCGCATCTCTGTAGAACATTGCCAACAACGGCAAAAAAGACTACGTTATCGAGCTTCAGAACTCAGATCTATCTCAGTTGAAAGTGAGGCAAAAGTGAACTCCCTTGCGGGGAATTGAACCCCGGGCTTCGCGGATTGTTCCTATGGGGATGAAAACGCGATATGTTAACCACTACACTACAAAGGATTGTAGCTTGGTGTTGAACATTTGCCCGGAATAGTGCCTTACGTCGTGTGCGTTAGGCCCACTTGCATGACGGGCATGACAACTGACTTCTCCTAGACGTGGCGGGTGAACTAGGGAAGCTGCACCTTCTCCATATAGCAGTTAAGCTATGCATACAATAGCTGACTGGCCAATAATTTTACAACAGATAGATATGCTCAATACTCTATGTCTCTTGTCGAGGCAGGTACCTAGGTTACATGAGCGAATGTGACTTGGTCAGCAAGTGGTATTCACCAAGTCTATTGCTGGCTAGCTCACGTTTAACGGCTGTACTATTTTAAGGGGTTTATCTAGGTGCTTTGGTCCAGAGCGTTGTTTATGTGACGGCGATTGTTGTTAAACTTCTATATCATATTTGACAGTCCGCTGTCTGCGCGGAGTGTGGTGTATCTATTCCTTTTGTACAGTCCTCTTCACACCCTCAACAAACGCCTCGACGGCATCTCCGCCACCCAACGGCACCATGCCACCCCTCACAAGTCCTCCATTCTCCACCGAGATTCCAAGGGCCTCGGCAATGCTGGGCAATCCTCCATCTCTAAGCGCCATGGTCAAGCTAGCCAAACTCTGGTGGAACTGAGGGCTCCGGAGGACCTTCTTGACCAGGGCACGCTTTTGCTGGGAGCTCATGGCTTGCTTGGCAGCAGAGATCGATTCCGCGCTGGGTTCGCCGATAGCGTCTCCGGATGAATCGGGGCCCTGCTGAGATAGGACGAGGACTGTGGGAGGGAGGAAGTTTAGGAGGTTGTCGACATATTCATCACCAGCTGAGTCCAGCATAGGGATGGTGGTATTTGTCTCGAGCAGGTCGCTGAGCATCGGGTACAGTTTGCCGCCTTCTTGACCCCCTCCCTGACCTCCTCCGGCTGCAAGACCCGGAACGCCCTTGAGCGACTCTAGGAGATTCCGCACTGCGGCAGCTGCATCGTTGCTTGCCCTATGCATGATGCAGACGTCAGCACAGTCACAGAATAAAGAAGACGCCAAAAGGAAATGCCACAGTTCGCATTCTTCTCTGTAATCAGCTGCTCGACGGCATATCTCTAGTAAGTACATGCACAGTTCCCAATTTTTTTGGTCCCCTGCTCTTCGCCTGCGCCAGAACCAAGACGGCTCGGAAGATCGAGCCCTTTATGTGTAACGCTGAAAGAAACCACGCGATTGGAATTATCACCTACGCTCGTGCCCCGTCTGCTCCTCCTCGTCTAGCATCCTCGCCTTCTGTCTCAAAATCTCCACCAGTAGCATCGGAACCAGCGCCGCCGGGCCCGCTGGGTGGCTTGCTGATGGTATCGCCAGAACCCTCGACATCCTCCATGGTCTCGTCATCGTCATCATCGCGTCGGCTGTCGTCGTTGTTATTGCGGACCGAGGCGAGCTCCCGGCCCACGTCCACGTCCTCGCCCTGCAGGAGCCTGTCGACGATCTCTCCAATCTTGAGATCCCTCGGGCTGAACCAGGCCGGGTCGCCGCTACGGCCCTGGGGTTTGGATTGTAGCCAGAACAGATGCCGGTCCGATGACGACGAGAACTTAAGGGCAAAGATGCGGCCATTGGTTTTGGAGGTGGGTTCGCTCGGCGACCGGGTATCGTAAGGCACAAATCGAGCATCGGACGGGACCATGACCAGGTCAAGCTCGGGTTCGTCGAGCGGCACATTGCGAGGCCGCCATGAGAAGTGGATCAAATCTGTCGACGAAGTTAACCTCAATCCTGCCAATCGAGCAGTACTGAACTGTTGTATCCATACCATCGTCTGACCATAGATAGATGTAACCAGGTGTCGGCTGACATCTGACCTTGTATGGCTTCGACGATTTCTAAACGTCAAGTTAGCGCGGGCTGAAGGTGATGCTGTGAGGATGCGCACATACGTCGAGGTCGCAGAGGCCCGCCTTGAAGGTGATAATTGGTGTTATCGACATTGTGGACTGCTCGATTGTGGACTGCGTTTGAGGGCTTGAAATAAGGCAAGCTGTCAGTCGTGGCGCGGATGTCGTGTGAGAGGCTCGTTGGAGAGCTCAGCGGTGCTGATGAAGCTTGGATTGCCTAATGCCAATGCAAGGCTGCCGTTGACGTGGGCTGCGGTGGAATGCGGGAGCTTGTGGCAAGGTACGTACACTTTAGCACTGACTTGTGTAATTGTTAGCGCGCTTCGTAGCTGCCGGGATATCGCAGTTGCTTCCCTCGCAACTCAACAAGGCAATTACTGGCTACAAAGATACAGTTGTTGAAATTTATCTTCATATCTTGTCGTATTCACTTGGAATTGAGAAGCCTCTTATGTGTACAACTGCGGTCTGTTTGTAATGTTACAAACGATCTGTATACAGTAATTGGGGCAGTGGCACTGACCGCACTCCGTACAGCATGCCAGAGCTCTCAGCGATTGGCGACGCCGCCTGGCAGCCAGCTGGATGCGCCAAGTGAACCCCTGTGCGGATGAAGCGAAGATCGTGGCTGATGTATTAAAATAAGATGGCCTGTGTAGATCAAGCGAGGAGGCACCGCAGTGAGCACAGCACCTCCTTGTGCCGCGCTAAACCTCTTTGCATTATTTTACTTGTCCTCCTGAAAGACTTGGATTCTGTATCCCCATCCTGGCGCAAGTTGTCTAATTGCGAAGGAGGTTACGACACTGCTGCAAACAGGCAGGCACGAGCGGTGACTGTGATTCAGTGTCCCTCCCTTTCCGGCGCACCTTCCACGTTTCGACCGTTCAAACGCTGCGGCGCGCGCCACCAGCCGAAAGAAAGCTCGATGCGATAAAGGAGCAAGCAGCCAAGCCTCACGCTCTCTATGTGTTCTTTTTTCTGAGACATCTCGACGAACCCATGGCGCGACCATTGGGGCCGGTTCGTCTCAAGAAGACGAACCCTCTTACTCTTCTACTCGGCGCGGTTCTTTGCATCTTCATTATATACTTCTTATTAGGCCCGTCGGCCCCCGACTTTTCACCTTCTCGCAAAGCCGCCGCAGCATCGCACCCTCTGTCGCCGCCGACCTCCCCCTTCCGCAAACAGAGCACATCGTCGGGCGTCAAGCCGAAGCCGCCGCCTGTGACGCACTACAACCTTAACAATGTCACCATTACGGCGAATCCGGTTGAGAACCGCGAGAACGTCCTCGTCCTCACGCCCATGGCGCGATTCTACCAGGAGTATTGGGACAACCTCCTGAAGCTGACGTACCCGCACGAGCTCATCACGCTGGGCTTCATCCTGCCCAAGAACAAGGAAGGGAACGCGGCCACGACGGAACTGCAGAAGCAGATCGCCAAGACGCAGAAGCACGGGCCGGAGAAGGACAGATTCAAGAGCATCATCATCCTGCGACAGGACTTTGACCCGCCGCTCCCGTCGCAGGAGGAGAGCGAGCGGCACAAGATGCAGAACCAAAAGGCACGGCGGGCTGCCATGTCCAAGGCTCGCAACTCTTTACTTTTCACCACACTGGGTCCCGCGACGTCGTGGGTCTTGTGGCTGGACGCCGATATCATCGAGACCCCGCCGACACTGATCCAGGACCTGGCCAAGCACGACAAACCCCTGGTTGCGCCCAACTGCTACCAGCGCTACTACAATGCCGAGAAAAAGGCGATGGACGAGCGGCCATACGACTTCAACAACTGGCAGGACAGCCCGACGGCGCTGGAGCTGGCGGGCAAAATGGGACCCGACGACATCCTCTTGGAGGGCTACGCCGACATGGCGACGTACCGCGCGCTGATGGCTTACATGTACGAAGAGGGGGCGGACGACCACCTAGAAGTGCCACTGGACGGTGTCGGCGGCACGGCGTTGCTGGTCAAGGCGGATGTCCACCGGGATGGCGCCATGTTTCCTGCGTTCCCCTTTTATCACCTCATCGAAACGGAAGGTTTTGCCAAGATGGCGAAGAGATTAGGCTGGCAAGCGACTGGTCTCCCTAATTACAAGGTGAGTTGTTTTGTACTCCCGTCCCTCTTCCAGCGCATGCATGCATGCGCTGTCGCTAGCCGTTTTGGCGGTTGTACTAACGTGGGGTGTTGCAGGTTTATCACTTCAATGAGTGAGCTGTAGCGTGACGTGTTTTCCGACAGCCCCTTTTTGCGAAACAAGCAAGATTTTGCTTCGAGGCTTGATTCAAGAAGCCCTCATTTCTAATCGCTCAGGACCATAGGCAGGAACTTTGGCTTGGTTTGGTATGGGGGTTCTGATATAGAGAGACTTGACTCGCATCGCGTCGTTTTAGCTGCGAGACTTGGTGTTTGGCGTTTCCTTGTTGTCCAAGTTGCACAACAGGGCGGATAAAGAGCCGCAGCCAGTTGGAGGGGGTTGCCCGGCTGCAAGTAAGAAAACCTGTACGATATAAGGATGTTGCTACGATACTTGACGACATGGAATATGGAAGGTAGCCACCTTTCTGGTTATCCGCGTATTGTACAACAGCAGCATGTATAGGTTGTCTGAGATACAGAGAAATATAGATTCAATTAGTCTGATGTTCGTCGTTGGCCGTATCTTAAGACATAAAATCCAGCACAATCCGCCTAAAATGCTCTATGACCCTTTCATCCCATTACATATGTATACGTTCAACAACGAAAAGACCCCCTTAACTCCCGACTTGCTGAAATCCGCCCCGCAATCCAGTTGCTTCTCGTGTGTGGGTTTGACTCCGACATCCCTCTATCGTCCCGTCTGCTATGCATATTATCATCCCTCATGCTTGTATGTGTAATGTCCCCCCAGCCTCTAACTGTGAATGCTTATATCCCTGTCTGCAATGCTCCCTCCCCCTTCCACAGTTTTTCTACCCTTGTTTTGTCTCTTTGCTGCCGTACCGTGCCCTTTCCCTCCATTATTATGCCTCTTGTCTCTTGCGCAGAATATCGACCGTTAGACCTTCTTCCCCCGCCCACGTAGAATCCCCCCTTCCCCCCTTGCCCTTGCCCGCCCCTGGCCCCTGGCCCCTTG